TAAGCATGTGACAGCGTGGAACAAAGCAGAGAAGCAGCGCTGCTTTGATTGCGTCTTTGCTTTTTTTTAATGCTTCGTTTGGAGCGGCGTTCACTGAGGTATGATAATGTATAGTGTAATAAATTGACTCTTTAAGTCACGAACCTTTTAGGAACTCCCTTTTTTTTCTTTCTGCTGGAAATTAAGCGTTTACACAACTAATGTGAAACCGCAAATAGGCTTTGATGGGAAATAACCAGATAATGAATTGTACCCACATAATGAGAAAATACTTGCATGCAATGTTGGCAAGCTGCAAAAATGTTAATACTGAGCTCGCTGTCATTGTGTTTAATCTTTTTCCATTAGGCCTGCTGTACAATATCTGCTCATAGTGATGTTTTAATACAAAAAAAAAAGGTCATTATTTCTGGTCATGAATGACTTTACTACTCTTGCTTTTGTTGCCCAAATCCAATCAAAGTCAGAGCTGTGGATCCAAACCCGGCTCTCTGGAGTGCTACACTTTGTATGCCCAGCCATCCGCCCCGACAACCTCCCCGCGAGTCCAGATAAAGGTCGCGCCTCATTCGCTCGGCGAAACATTGCCTCTGAAAATAATCCGGCTCTCAATTACTTCTGCCACTACAAAATAAATTTGAAAATGATTAATATGGAAGCAGGACGCGGCGTTCTTTTCTATTTTTCTTTTCTTTTTTTTTTTTTTCCTCCCTGAGATCTCTCGGTGAAGTGCGTCTTCACTCCACTCTGGTTTCTAATATTCCTTGTTTCAAGTGTCTATCAAAGGCACGAGCGCACACACTGACTTTGCCAGTTTTTAGGAGAAGCTTGGATCCTACAGAATCCATGAGCTCTCACAGATAAAAGACATCAAAAAAGAAAGATTCAACATATCAGATTTTTGGGTTTAATTTTTTTTTTTTTGCAGACGTGTTCGCGCCGACCGGGGAGCGAGCTATCGAGGCTTACAGCTACAAATGTCCTGATGTGCTGTGGCTTTTCAAACTAAAAGCATGTTTGGATTTTAACCAATTAACTTGCCGTCAAACATACAGCTGTCCTGTCCGGTAATTTGTTGTTTTTGTTAAATGAAGAAGTCAGTGTACGCCTGATACGATCCGCTGAATCTCATTGTAAACGCTCTGGTAGCTTCTCTCAGATCAATACATCATCTTAACAGGACATATATAATTTCTCTGAATGTTTAGCAAGATGGATGCCACACTCTTAAACATTAAAGCTGCTATAATCGATAATGTATATATATATTTATACTGATTACATCACGTGAATTAGCTCACAGAGAAGGTTTTCCTGGCTGCGGATCTCCTCCGTGTGGCTCACAGGCTTTTAGTATGGTACTAGTGATTCTGTCAGTCTTGGTTTCACAGCCTCGACTTCACCGTGTTGTCGAGTTTCACAGCTCTCATCAGTGTGGCTTAAAGCTGCAGCAGGCAGCTGCTTCACTAAAAAAAAACAACCTCTGATGAACCCTCTGTACTCTGCTGGCTCTGCTCAGGGTTGCTGACCCGGCCAGAAAAAAAAAACAAAAATTCAAGAGGAAACATGATTCAAAGCTAATTCTCTTTATTTCGTCGCTTCTCTGTGGGTTTTATGTGCAAGGCCAACAAACGTGCCAGTAAAATGGCAGCAAGCAGGGCAGCGCTACCTCTGCAGAACACCTCCAGCTGGGAGGTTTACACTGTTATTTCCAGCATCCCAGTAAACGCAGGATTTAAAAGGCGTCTTTGTGGAGATAAAACGTTAAGGCTTCCCTCCACCAGCGTCCTGTCTTGTCGTACCTGCCGACGGTAGCGGCGCTTTGGCTGTGATTTTGGATGTTTAGGTACCGTCCCGCTGAGCTCCACTGATTTGTTGCGCTGCCACTTTGTTTGCAGACATCAGGTTCTGTAATAAACCCGAACAATTTCTGTGTCAACGCGGCGATGGGCGCCTTTCTTCGGTCTTGTTTCGTTGTCGTCAGCTCCCGCTGCCTTTCTTCAAGTGTGTTTGGCAAGCAGAGCTGACACATGCAGGCGCCTCCGAGTCAACAGCAACAGCTTATGTTACATATATAGATTTCATTTTTCTCATCATGCAAAAACAAAATTGAGAATCAATCGATTAAAGTCTGGAATAAATTATCGCCCAGCACCCGGCAGCACATGACGGATTGACAAAGGTGGTCGAAGCGTGAAGCAGGATGTAGCAGCTGAGGAGCTGATGTTCAGGAGTTTATGACCAAAACGGAGCTAAAAGGAACAAATATTACATTTATAATCAAAAACTATGACTATAACTAAAGATAACTGCTGGTTTGTATCTGCGAAGCAGCACCGGATTCTTACTTTTCTCCTGAGTGCGAAATTTTAGGGAGCACATAAAGAACTTTAATTGTTTAAATAATGACTTTTATTTTACGGAAGAGACACAAAGAGATAATTAGAAGCAAAAATACTTAATTCGTTTTGTATATATTTCTGCTTTAAACTGTATCATTTAATAATTATGTCAGTATTTATACTTTATTCTGTTTAAACTGTATGAGCACCGCTAGAACGTTTATTCTTCGCGCTGAATTTAGTTTAAGCTTTTTGATTTAAAAACAAAATGTCAGCTTTAGCCACATTTAATCATTTGAATTTTATTACTTTTAGTCCACAAAAACGTAAGATGAACATGTTTTCATCAGTGACGTTTGTATTTTTTTTGTTGTTGTTGTTGTTTTACATCTGTCGCCATTTTTTTGTACAGTTGCCATGGTTACAGATGCTATTCTATTCGTATTTCATTGCAAGGCTAGAGGACATGACAACAGCAGGATTCGCCTCAGTCAGGCCGGATAAAGGTGCAGTCTGCGATTCTCAGGAAAGATTGGTTTATATTTAGACACTTATGATCTCGGCCCCACTGCCTCCTTTACCCCCAAACAACAGACAATTGGACAAACAAGAAAAGATATACGCTGAATTTCGCAAGAAGTACATCGGATTTAAATCACAAACTCCACCTTTAGCACTGTAACTCTGAAGCGCTCTCTCTCAGCTAGCATCGCTGCAGCGACCTGTTCTGTCCTCCAGAGGGCAGCAACATCTGACTGAAGTCATGCTTACGGTTCAGTTTAGTTAACGTGCTCGAGATGCGGCGCCAGAATTAATCCTGGAACCGACAGCAGCGTCAAACGTATCTGACTGACCGTCAACATCACCTGTGTAGCGTTAGCAGTGTCTGATTAAAGCATTTATGCGTGTTTTCATGGTTTGTCTTCGCTGTTTTGTTGCATCTTCTGCTAATTGCCATGAGTTTAGTTTATAAGGAGGTTATGTTCGAGAACCTGTGATGTCAGGCACCGAGTCGCCCCATGAGAGTGCAAATAGCTCGCTGTCTGCTAGCAAATTAGCCACGTCTTTATACAGCGATAATTTGATGAAAGAATCCATGATGAAGATTTGATTAGAAATGTATTAAACTGTATTAATGAAGAAGCACTTAACATTTGCATCTTGTGTAATCAAATCAGTGCTAATTTCTGGTAAATACAGGGCAATAAAACGTGATAGAACAGGAGCAGCGGTCCTGCTAACCGGCCCTGATACGACTGGCGTGCAGCTTGTGTAATTCGCAGCCTGTGCTGATTTTGCATTCACGTTTACGCACGCTTGAGCGCATGTACACAAACAGCACAGACTAATATTAACAATATGTAACGTAGATTGCCGGCGCGATTGCAATTCAGATTTGTGAGAAATGACTCAGTTGTCTGCAATCAGAAATTCCACTCATAAACATGCCTCTCTCATTTCACTTCGCTGAATTTGTGTTGACTACTTTGGAGCTGCAGACGTGCACACACAGTGACATGCATAAATAACTCCCCCCCGAAAAAATAAAATAAAATATGAGAGAGAGATTCCAATCAGCCATCATAACCTGATTACAGGGGCCCAATTAGAAGCTTTGTCTGGCTGGTGAAGCCTCGACGTGATGAGCAGACCCTTCACTCAGAGCCTGTCGGGGGTCTGAAGCTTGCACAGGGTTGTTACTGCACTGTTAAAAAGCAGAGAGGAAGAGTCCCCCCTCGCAGCCGTCTGCCTGCTGGAGCGTTGCAGCCATGATTATGAAGATGCAAATATAACAGGCAGCAGGAATTAAACTATGAGACATTGTTCATCTGGCCTGCGTAAATAATCAAAGTGGCCCGCCCCATCCCCCACAGCCACCCTCTCCATCAACACTACCGCCATCCATCCATCCATCCATCCATCCATCCATCCATCCATCCATCCATCCATCCATCCATCCATCCGTCTAACCTGTGGCAAATCAGACACCTGCATAGGGTCCCCTCACTGCCACTGGAAATGACCAACAGCACAAGGCTGCACTGAGCGTCCAAGTGTCAGTGTGGATGAGTTTACTGGCATTTGAGAGAACATGAATGTTAATGAGCAGATTAGGAGGCAGCAACAAACCACCCTGGCAAAACACTCGGGGAGAAGCACAAAACAGACACTCGTGCTGAGCTTCACACCTTCAGCTGTGATATGGAGAGAGAGAGAAAAAAAAAAGAGAGGCAGGACATAGGTGTTTTTTTTTTTTTTTGCAAGGATGCACGCAGACCCGTGCGATAAAACAGCCACCGGTATACCTGTGTCAACACACAAAGCACATATCCAAACTGCATACTGTACGCTCAGATGTTAAACATGCACTCATCATATGTGTGTGTGTTCCCCTCAGCGCAAACACAGATTGCATAGCAGAACAGCAAAATGAAACCCATCTGGATGACAAAGCACAAATAAGATGTGGAGAGCTGCTCTTCCTCACTGTGGATAATTCCCCCCTTTCTTTGCATCCCTCCCATTTGCCTGTGATACACAGTTTTATTCCTGACATTAATTTGGTCCCCGGCGATCCCCTGGCCCCACCACTGCACCATAATAAATCTGATCCAATGACTCAGTGCTCAAAGCCCACCATAGAGACAGAGTACTTACCAGGACTGTCATGCAGAGAATTCTAATTCAGGCAGCTCCATGTTGCCAAGGAAATTCAAAATGCCTCCGAAAGCATGGAGACAGGGATGCGGGATTCGAGACGGGCTAGATTCGGATGGGAAGCGGGGATGTGTGCAGAGATGAGAATCCCTTGTCTGAGGGGCATTTGAGAAATGCCTCCGTCCTCTCCAGATGCGCTAAATCCGGCAGCACTGATAGGCTGACATGTAAACACACAGGCGGCTCTGCTGGCTCGCACACGCTCACATACATGCTGCACCTAGCAGAGAGCGAGAGGAAGAGGGAGGGGCAGCTGATGAGAGAGGTGGAAGGAGGAGCTGCAGTGCACTGGGAGGAAGAGAGGCTCAGAGCTCAGGCAGCGAGGGGAGTTGAAAAGAAATGGAGAGAAATGTTCTCTGATTGCACTGGAAGCATCCTCTTTTGATTTCCCTTTGCTTTTCTTTTTTTCTCCTACTGTGTTTTTTTCCCCTATTTGCAGAACGCCTGGGATGATGATGTGCTGAGCTTAGGATGCAAACGTATATGAGCGGTGGTGGTGACAGGAAAGGAGGTTAGAGATGGAGAGGGATGGAAATGTACAAATAAATTCAAAGAGGCAGAGGGGTGAAAATGAGCGAGTTTTAAATTGGAGGAGCAGCATCCACAGGGAGCAAAGGAAATGTAGCTTCCCGCAGTATGCAAACCCTTTGCTGCTTAATGACGGGCAACTTAAGACGGCGGTGGATAGGGATGGATAAGTGCTTCCTCTGTTTTTGAGATTTCTTGCCAGAGTTGAGGATTATCGCCACCCACAGTGCAAAGTGAGGTAATCATCACCCAAACTCACCTGTGCCGCGAGGAGCGGGGATTGGGGGCGAGAAGCACTGGCTTAACAGTGCTAATGGGTATAAGGGGCTGACACACACATGCTGGCAGTGCCAAGGAGGCTTCACAGTCGGGGAGTGTTTACGGGAGATTAGAGGGCTGAGGATTTAGTGGAGTGGTGGTTGGACATGAAGGGCTCCTGGTCACCGAATGAGCCGTGTTACAAACGCTCCACGGGTTTGAACGAGACATCAGTGTTCTGTTTGCTGCATTTGAGTCCATGTTTCGTTGTTTAATTTCATTCAAATAGCTTAAATTTCATGCTTTGTCTAAGAAGTTTCCACGTATACCTTCTACACGGAAGTCCACCCTACTGTTGTACGAAACCTATGAGACACACGGCAGTCCATAAAATAGACGACAGCCAATTCATCAATTAGAAGAAGACATCTATTGTCTGTTTTCTGCATTTGATTCCATATTTCATTGTTAATGTCATTCAAATATCTTGAATTTCATCTTTTGTTTGTGAAATTTCCACGTATACCTTCTACATGAAAGTCCACCCTACTGTTGTACGAAACCTATGAGACAAGCAGCACTATACAGAGACAGCCAATTAATTAATTAGAAGAAGACATCTATAGTCTGTTTTCTGCTTTTGATTCTGCATTTCATTGTTAATTTTATTAAAATATCTCCAATATCATCCTTATTTTAAGAAGTTTCCACGTATACCTTCTACCCAAACGTCCGTCCTAAATGTATACCAAACCTAACAGACAAACAGCACTATACAGAGACAGCCAATTAATTAATTAGAAGAAGACATCTATAGTCTGTTTTCTGCATTTGATTTCATGTCATTGTTAATGTCATTAAAATATCTCCAATATCATCCTTATCTTAAGAAGTTTCCACGTATACCTTCTACCCAAACATTCACCCTAAATGTATACCAAACCTAAGAGACAAACAGCACGACACAGAGCAGAAGACAGCCAATTAATCAATAAGAAGAAGACATCTATATTGTGTTTTCTGCATTTGATTCTGCATTTCATTGTTAATTTCATTAAAATATCCTCAATATCATCCTTATTTTGAGAAGTTTCCACGTATACCTTCTACACGAAAGTCCACCCAACATGTATACTAAACCTATGAGACAAACAGCACAACACAGAGTAGAAGACAACCAATTAATTAATTAGAAAAAGACATCTATAGTCTGTTTTCTGCATTTGATTCCATATTTCATTGCTGTTTCTATCCTCATGACTTTAATTCTACCCTCTCTTTGGGCAGTTTCCACGTATACCCTCCGTATAAAAGTCCGCCCTACTGTTGTACTAAATCTGCGAGACAAACAGCGGTACACAGAGCAGAAGACAGCCAATGGTGGCACATCTCTGCCGTACAATAAAACACACGGAGGCGAGAGAGAATTATTTAGACAGTTGGAAAAAGGCGTCGCACTCTGCACCAATACAACATAAAAGAAATTTATGGCTCATTTTGCCAACTAGAAGCTAATCTAAAAGAAATGAGTTATGCCCCGTGTAAGAAATAAAACCAGATGAAAGGTAGCGCCGGAGAAACTCGGATGACGTCAAGGATGAGAACAAGCCGACATGGAGGAGGGAGAATTAATCTCATTTTTTACGTTTTGAATGCCGCTACGCCCACTATGGCCACTTAAAAAAAGATTGGACAGCTGATTCATGACATCTGCATTTAGGTCCAATGGCGCCATGAATTCTCGTCTCCTAGCAGAAGCACGTCTTTCACAGCCCGTGATGAGTGGCTGGATTTGTTCCCGAGACAGTTGAAAAGTACGAGTGTGCTTGTGTTATGATGTTACGGAGCTCAATCCCACTTGCATAGAGATGAGATTCTGGAGGACTGGCTTTCTTTAGTACGATTAAAGCGCTCTGTTCCCATAATTAATGTCTGTGCATTTTGCAATAACCCTCTAATGTCATGCTGGGGTTTTTTTTGAATTGTGAAGAACAAGCAGATATGAGAGATTCGATTGCTTCCTTGAGGTGAGCCTGCTTACCGTCCAGTCGTCCATTCGCTATCCCCGCTTTGAGCTGTAAGGGGATTGTGGGAGCTGGAGTCTGTCCCAGCTGACATCGGATTGCCAATTTAGAATCACCAGTCACCCTTCCATGCATGTCTTTTTGACTGTGCAAAGAAGAACAGTCTGGAGCACCTAAAGAAAACTGTGGAACATGCAAAGTCTGCACAGGAACCAACCAACCACACAGCAGAGTAGATCCCAGGACCTTGTAGCTGTGGGATGATTTTATTTTATTCTTTATAGATCCAATGCAAGATATTTGTCAACACCGCGTCCAAATCTGATGCTATTTTCTGAAATAATGCACATTTCAAGTACGTTGAAGCTCTTAAAATCAGTCTAATCTGTGTATTAATTCATTAAAAATTGCATTTTTGCATCCGAGTTGTTCCATAATGCTCTGGAGCATCGTTGTAAAGCTCCGTCTGAGATGTAGTGTCAGAGGTTATGATAAACTGAGGCTCCACAAGCTCCAAAAGATGGAGAAAGGCGATATTCTCGACATGCATGTCAGAAAATATAATGTAGTACCTGGTTGTTCCACCAGGTGGAGCCTCTTACCGTCGCTCAGACTACAGACTACATGTTAGCAAGCAGATAGCATTGTGGGGGGTTTAGCTAGCAACGGGCACCACGACAAAGACTTCTGTGACGCTTAATGACCTCCAACCAGAACTGGTGAGTTTAAAATAAGCTGAATCGACTAAAACAGCAGAGTTTGCATCCCGGATTATGTCTCTATTGACAAACGTTCTCAGTTTGTGTAATCAGGAAGTCCATCATTTGTTGATAATGCTTCTGGTTATTCATTAAGAAAATCATTATCTCCCTTTACGATATTTGTGTGATAACGAATGTAAACAAAAGATCAGGTTCAGGTTTGTGAAGATACCAGTCAGGTTAAATAAAAAAGGCCTTTATCATGTCTTCATTTGTTAAAACTTTTTCCTACTTTGTTCCACTAGTGTCTGATTAAGCTCCTCCCTCATCAGCTGCCGTCGCTTTACGTCCAGTTAACAGTGAGAACAGAGACAGATTTACCATTAGAAGCTCATAGATTTAGTTTTTTTTTTTAAAGAAAGGCTCCTGTATTTCTGGCAGAGGCAGACCAAAGCAAGCTTCTAATTCTCGCCAGCAACCATTGATTTTGCTGCTTGAAATGCTGATGGTGGATTTTATGTGCTGCAGCTGGCTAGTTAGCTAATTAAGCCAACTTTATGTCTCTAGCTGACTGTTTCCAGCTGACTCATTTTAATATGAGATTCCTTTAAAGTGGGCTTTTAATGACTTGATGTCTACATGCATAATATTGTGCTAAAAGGTGAAGGCTGAAGCAGGAAGTCCACGTCGGTGTGTTTTTGTTATTGTGGTCGGAGTTTGCATGCTTAATGAACGGCGTGTTTTCACATCCGACGCCGATAAAGAGAAGTCTGTCCTGGGTAGAAATGTTCTGCACGAGTTGTTGTCGTTGTGCACTTTTGCTCCTGTTTTTTTTCTTTAAGGCTGAAAAACGACCACTTTCCAAACTGTTTATGCTGAATCTCGCTGCCGGCTCTTCCACATCGAACGCCCAGCGACATGTTTTCTCTGCTTCACTTTTTTAACTCTCACTTTTCTAATGAGCAACACAAAACTTTTTTTTTTGTCTTGAGTCAGAGGCGTCCGGTTCACATTCTGACCTCTGTACCTGAAACTGCTGCATAATTCCTCTCCGTCTCCGGGGACTTTGCTGCCAGATGATGAGCTGATGCATTTTAAACTTACATACTTAATTCACAAACTGCATATATTTTGTGTAGCGACACAAAGTGCTGCGCTTGTAAGCTTTTGGAAACACCTGCGCCGGGGCTTTTAGGGGCTCTGGGGTTAGTGTTAAAACTCTGACAACACCAACAAAATGTGTGAACAAACTATGAAATCCATGCTTTCATGCAAATTCCTTGCAGCTGCTGCACTGCACAAAGCACTGAGAGCATCTGCATGAATGTGGTAGTAGTGGCGTGCTATATGCGGAGATGACCGCTCGTCATTTCGGATGCATGGTCGGTCGAGCGGTTAAATCTAAGCTACGAGACGCTGAAGCTACAACCTGGAAGGCTCCTTCTGCCTCTTCATCCAATCACAGGTCAGCTGCCTCCTCCTGAGCAGCTTAAAGACACACTCCCTGATTTCTGGGCATTTTGTCTGAAAATAGAAGTCATTTATTCAACCT